AACAAACCACAACAAAGCTCATTCGAATCAAGCAACAGGCCACCGTTTTTCTTTTGCATACAATAACACCCATCATGCAACTGTGCACACGTTACTATTTTCACCTACTGGAACATTAAAAAAACGAGGGAGCACGATATTTATGTTAACGCTGAACACAAAGGTTTTGCGGCCGCCTGTGCTGACGCCGAAATGTCACATCAGAGTCTCAGAGTTCCCGAGAGTAACACTGAAGTCTCCTAAACCGTTTCACTCAGCAACGCTGGTGCACAATGTTATACCATTCAAAGCTGAAAGCATGACACATATAATCTCCCTCAAAATACTTGGTTTCACCTGTGATCGCCATGACAACATAGCACAAAATGTCTATGCAACGTTGTGGTGCTGCAATAACATGCTCTCAGCGTGCGTGTAGATAATGGAGATTATGTTTAATAGGAGACGATGAATCTAAATACAAAGCTGAACAGCTGGTGAGGATGCGTGACCACCACATATTATAATTTATGTACACAGTTTGCCTCCTTTCATTGCCAGAGTAACGCTAATACCTACCAAAGGTGCTGACGTGAATTATGGCTTTGAATGCATCAGAAAGTAAGTATATGGGTTTTTTTTTTAAAGTTCAATACAACATTGAGAATATTCAAGGTCGATGTGAGTTTGTCAGATTGTATGACTGTCTTTGAATGTACATCACTGAGATTATTGGTGTCTTTTAACCTAGTCTCCATACTTTCTACCTGTCTACCTGAGATTAGCAAGTGATTTCTTTCTCTTTTTTCACAATTTCAGTGCATATGTTGACTTAAACATGTAAGCAATACAAAAGGAAGGAGATTTCTTGTATAGACAAAAGTGGGTATAAATATTGGCAGGGAAAATGGCGAGCTTTAAAGAAGACAGCTGACACAAAAACACATCAAGATAAAATCAAGTTAAAAATAAATCCAAAACACAACCAAAGGAGCAAAAACTAAAGGGAACAGAAAAAAAACAGGTAAGAATCACAGGAGAGAAATGAAGTCAGGGACCACAGAAAAGAACGAGGGAGAGGCTGTGGTTGCATTTGAATGGTCACTTTTGCTTCTGAAAGTTCCTGAGTGTAGTGGCCCAAAAACATCTAAATGCCATTTATAAAAAGAGCTGATCCAATTCTCTAAATACCAACCAAAGGCTGTCCAGTGCTTTTTTGTTAGCTATTTTAGCATACGATCCACTGGACCTACTTTTGTTTACATGACTCATGTAAACAAATGATCAGTGTGACCAATTAGGAATGCCCATTATCATGTAAACTGGCTGCGTGTTTTCCATCTTGTGCCAAAACTTGCTGATATGCTGATACAGTTATCTGTGTGTTCACAGGACTCTATGCAGTGCTGTGAAAAATTAAGTACAGCCTCACTGCTTCAATAGGAATTAGAAGGGTAAGAGCAGCCAGGCATCGCTAGCAAGTGTGATCACCTTTATTAAAGCAGCAGTTTTGGCAATTTGTTTTTCTTGAGGATTCAGGTGAGGTCAGACAGTGCAATGCTTAAGGAAAAAACAAAAACAAGAGCTACATCTCACGTTGATAGGTTAAATGTACAATTTACAAGTGCAATCAGAAAAAGACTTTTAAAGAAAAACCCTCTTCTCTCTAAAATGAACATGACAGCACAGCTTAGGTTTACAAAGTTGCATCTAAACAAACCATAAAACTCGTGGAACAATGTCTTTGGATAGATGAGACCAACGTGGAGATGTTTGACTATGATGTGCAGCACCATGTTTGGAGAAAGCCAAACACAGCATAACAACTAGAAGAGTAATGTTTTAGGCTTCTTCTGCAACCATTGCAGTCACTGAGATAAACCATGGAGCAAAGTAAAGCTAACTTGATAATATATTTATTATAACGTGTAAATGAACAAAGAAAATGTCTGAAATTGTTACCATTTGTTCCAGGAGAGTGTTTCGTACACACAAATGATTTGTTTGTGTTCCAGACCTCGACCTGATTGAAACGCTTATATATGAGGTATTGGAACCGAGGAACAACAAAGGTGAGGAAAAGACAAAGTAAAAGCAACGGGAAAGAACCCATTAACAAAAAGACGGGAAATTGAATAAACCAAGAGAAAGAGAAGCAAAGACAGACAGATAAGAACACACATGTAAGAAAACACAGATGAACCCTAAGTAGCATTAACAAAATCCTGCAAAGTGTTTTGCTTGTGCTGTTCACAACTGTCACCCTATTGCACAACATTTTTTATACGAAAAGCATGAAAAATGCCAACAAAAAGTGATGCCACAATGTCCATATTTGCGCCCCCCCCCTGCTTTCTGTCCAAATAGACAGTTGGTGTCTAGTGGACATCCCAGATAACCCTCGCGTGCATGCATCCCTTCTCATCAGTCTGTGGCATCCTTCAGTTTCTACAAGGCTTTGTCAGCATTAACCGTTACAGTTGTTTCCCAGCCATCGCTTCAATTCGCCCATGGTCTCTGGTCACCGCGCCGCTGCCAATTTCATCATTATTTGTCCCCACCCCACCCCGACCCCCCACCTACATTGAATACACCTCCTGCTGCATGAGATGGATTTAATCATGGTCATCATCAGCCTCACACTGTGCGGTGCCTACTGGAGCATTGCAGTGAATATGAAAGAAAGAAAAATATGGGATGAGAAGTCTTCTAGTTTGAAAATACAAGAAATCAATCAAAAGGTTATTAATGATAGCTTTTTTCATTTCCTGTTTTGACCTGTGTATGCATGAGACAAACATAACATCAATTTCTCGTCATGTCACAGTGCTATTTAGATCCTTGATAGTTTGTTTTTAATGTTTTCACCTCTCACAACCCAAAATCACTTTTGGATTAACTCAATTTCGGGTGTAAGAAAGATAGAAATTGTTTCTTTTTTCCCCCTCTGTGCATATTCTACAAATCCTCTGGCTAGATGACAGCAAATCAAAGGAAAACCAAGGAAAAATACTGCAGCAGGATGGATTTCAGGTGGTCTGCGGATAAATATGACGATATTTTCACGCTAAGGTGGGTTCAGTTTCCCTCTGAGAATCCATCCTTGTGTCCTGAATGGTAAACCAAGGTTGTTAAGACATATCTTACAGTAACTGATCCTGTTAAACTTGAACTTTTTTTTTTTCACAGAGACTGAACTTCATTGCTACCCTGCCAGCCAGTCTGTGAAGGTTTTCTTGTTTTTTTCCATCACAATACAATATAAAAAGATGTTTAAGTAACATGACGAATGTTTTATCCATTTGTCAAGGCTCGGGGACATTGTTTTTAACAAACATCAGGAAGGGAAATCAAATAAAAAAAACTGGCGTGAAAAGAGAAAAAGCATGTGTGAACGCGGAGCGGTTGTTTTATAAGCTTCAGGGGAGAAAAAGTCACATCTTTCAGCAATTCACAGTCACCACAAAAGCCACTCCACACCCTGCTGCTTTTGAAATTACTGGCCCAGACTTACAGATCTGAGATTACCAAATGTTCTGCCCTATTTGATGAAGCCCTAGAAGAGATTTAACCTCAAAAGGCAGGACATCAGTTAGGCTTGGGGCTTGAGAGGTTAAACAACTCAGTTCAGTCCAGGATTGTCTCCAGTCAGCTCACAGCCACAATGGGCTCCACTGAGAGGATGTCGGTCCTCCCTGTGAGCGCCTGCCGGGCAGTGAAAAGCACATGTGCATCTTTCAGGTTGTGGGACTGACTTGAAGAAGGGTGACTCTGCTGTGAGGAAGCTTGGACCGGGTGTGACCAAACGTTCCTTGGCCTCGAGGAGTCCTGGTTGTCGGGCCAGGCAGTTCTGTGACATGGAGCGTGAGGTACTGCAGGGCGAAGCTCCGGGTCCAAGCCGACCACTGCCCGTCGTCTCTTCCTGCACCTGTCAACGAGGAGCTGGAGCTCCTGACGGAAAGTGGGGTTCAGACAGCAGTAGATGAAAGGGTTGTAGCAGGTGGAGCTCATAGCTAGCCAGTGAAAGCAGAAGTAAAGGGCATTAGAAGAATGGATGGCCTGGCTGGACAGCAGCACCACATAGCAGTTGAGGGGAAACCAGCAAACGGCAAACACTCCGACCACCAGAAGCAGCATCGCCAGTGTTCTCCGGCGCTTCCTTCTCTGCGTGGCATGCTGAGCTGTTGTGGTGTCACCGATGGCATTGTGGCGCCACAGTCTACGGGCCACTATGGTGTAGGAGGCAGTGATGATGAGGAGGGGCAGCAAGTAAAGCAATATGAAGGTCAACAGGTCAATGTACTGCCAATAGACATCTGACGGCTCTGGGAAGTCTGGGACACACAGGCTTCGCTCTTTCTCCTTACTGTCAGGAGAAAGACAGAAGACAGAAAATACTACAGTACTGTGCAGAAATCTTTATATTTTGTCAGGAAAAATGGGAAATAAGTAAAATGATTTATCAACATGTGCAAACATAAATGGAAATACAAATTATATATGGCAAAAAAAACCCTGAAGCTGTAATATTCTAACCAGCTTCTAAGTCAATGATTGACTGTACGACCACCTTTCATTAACCCAGCCTGAACTCTCTGGGCAAGGTTTTTCTCATTTCAATAAGTAGTCTTCAGGAATAGTTCTCCGGGCTTCTTGAAGGACATTCAAAACACCTCTTTGGATGTTGGCTGTTCTGTCACCATGATCCCAGCCTGCTTCAATAATGTGGATGCCTGGGCGCCGGAGAGGCCAATCCATGACTTACAGTGTTTTTCTATAAGTCATCAATTTGAACCCAAAATTTCTGATTGGATTTCTTGATTTTCAGTGCAGGTCTGGTGTAATGTGGCATGCCAAATCACCCTTATCCTTTCAGCAAGAATGGCTTCTTGACAGCCACCCTTCCATTTTCTCATGAGGTTTTAATAAACTTCAGTGAAACTGAAAGGGACACATGCATCTCTCAGGTCATGAACAGTAAAGCAGCAGGTCTTTGTTGGAGATTTTCCTATTTTTAAGGACTTGACACTCATCTGCTGTAGATGGGTTTTTTTAGGCCTGCCACTTTTTTTTTAAACTCTCATCCAGTTTCCACATCTTTTTAAGGACACACCATGAATCACATTACTAGTTCAAAAATAGTAGTTTATGTCTATCAAATATTATTATTTTTGCCATTTTTAACAAATTCAATTAAAGAAAATAAAACACATGATGCACTTTTGTGACAGGGTGCTGGTTAAAATAAAATAAAGTTCCTAAAATTACAATTGAAAATTGGTTCTTTGTTCTTAATGTCTCTCATGTATAGATACACTTCTGGGTCATCTGTTGAGTAAGGTTCCTTTATATGTTTGAATGATACATAGTACCGTGTTAAGTAACAAGTACAAACATTCCTCTGAAAATGGTCAGGTACAAGGACTGGACTGAAAATGAGTGAAAAATCAGCCGGAGTCAGAACCAGACACGGAGAAGCTGCATTCAGCTTTTATGCTCCTTATATCTGGAACAAACTCCCAGAAAGCCTCAGATCAGCTGAAACACTCAGTTTATTTAAATCCAGGTTGAAGAATCACCTGTTCTCAGCTGCATTTGAACAAAAATAATAATAATAATAATATTTTTTTTATTTGTTTTTGTTATTTAATGTCTCTGTAAAGCACTTTGAATCACCTTGCTGTTGAATTGTGCTATATAAATAAACTTGCCTTGCCAATATCCAAATTAAATTTACAAGAAAGTCTGACTGGTGGTGCAGCTCGAGCCTTTACCCAGTACTGTATATTAATAATCATTGGCTATTGTTATTTCATAGAGAAGTATGAATTAAAAAAACAACAACATTTGTCTCTGATCCACTGAGTTTATTAGTTCATAGTTATTTTAAAGTTATTTTAGCTCTTCATTTTTCATTGTTATCTGATGGGTTTTTTTAAAACCAAAGAGTTATTCATCATATTGTGTATGACTTTTTAATTTTATACTAAAATTATGGATAAACATTCATCAGAGCAGGAAATATAGGATACAAGTGCATATATTAGTAATACTTAAGCCACTTCCTCCCCTTTAATCAGACATGAGTGCATGGGGAAGGGACCTCTGAAAAATATCTGCAAACATTTCTTTGGTTTTATCCACATTAATTTGGAGGAAAAACTGGTCACACCAGTTAATGAATTCATTAAGAACTCAGCCATGATCTTGCTTCACACCCCACAGAAGGCTCACAACCACAAAGTCTTTGGTGTATTTAAGGGCAAATCTTCATCTGTGTTTGCTCTGATTCTCACTAGTATGTAAGTCAAAGCCCAGTGGAATTTGATGCTCTTTGTTAAAAAACAACCACACTGTGTGTAAAATGCATATAAAAATTTGATAAGAGCCTAAAACTGGGTGAAAAGGGAAAGTGCACAGATGAATACATTTTCACAGAGTAAAATACTAAGAGATAAAAAAGAAATTCTTTGTATACGATTAATTTCTGCTTGCACACAATTTGAATTCTGAACTCTGGGAACGTGTGACTTGTTCTCAATTAGCTAATCAGTCTCCTTTGTAGATATAACTCCTGTGTAGCTCTTCCAATTTGCCAGACTGCTTTTGTGCTACCAAGTTGAGCATTCCAGTTTTCATTTTGCTTCTTTGACTTTGTTGTGTCGACTTTTGGCCACTGTTTTCGCCTACTTTCTGTAACTCTTGTGACTAAGTTCGTTCTTTTTAAATCAGGCCAATATTTCTTTTTCGGATTTTTTCCCTTTAAATCTGACACAGAGCAAACCTGTTCCACATCCATCAGTACATAAAGTAGAGAACCTCCATCTCCATAGCTAACCTCACTGAATTGTGCCTCTACATAATGACTGTGAATCATTTTACCTGTATGTAAAGGTCAGGAGTTTTTGGTAGATTGCATGTGGGAGGGAGAAGCAGCTGGCCATTATCCAGATGACGGCGACCCAAACACCACCTTGTGTAGGAGACATACGAGGCCTCAAAGGATGCAAAATCACCTGAGAATCACCACACACAGATCAAAGTCAGTGCAAATGCATACACTTCAGATCAATATCAATCACCAGTCTGTGCCCGGGGAAGTAGAAAGAAAGATTAGAGTATGTTTTTTTACAAGCGTGGCTCCAACTAGTCGAAAACAGCGTAGTATTGCAGTATAGCCAACTGCTGTTTCTCAGCCTCTGGCTGTTTTTGTTTGTGCCATACTACAAGCCAACTACAGTGTGGAACGGAAGATAATAAAATGTCACAAGAGGAAGGTCTTGGTGTGTATTTAGTGATGAGCAGATGTGTGAGTGAGGAGGCAAAATGTCCCTGATACACAGATTAGTCAGGAGAGCAAGTGAAAAGGGAAGGAAACAAAAGCTTTTTGTTCACTTCAGTTCAATAAGATTAAAAATACTGGCCAGATACTGTGCCTTCTCCACAACAAAAAGCATGACATAACTGTTGAAATACACTTTTTTTCCCTCCTTGAATTAAAGTTTTATTTTGGTCAAGTTAGGCAGTCACGCTGCCTCTTGGTCAAAAAGTCCTTGCAAAGTGTACAGAGATGGTTTGGCTCATTAAGCTGCTGCAAACACAAATACAATCCCACTCAAAATAAGGATCTCATCCTTCTTGCTTTATCTTGGGACCCATATTATGGAGATTCAATGTGTTTCATAAAGACATGCCAGCTGGGAGCAAATCTCTAATTTTGGCTCATCAAACTAAAGTTGTTCGTGTTTCTCGGACCGAGCAGTTATAATTGTCCTGTTCTCCCCCGGTGCTGGTTTCTGTGCAGCAATTCAACAATGAAGGCCTGATTTGTACAATCGCCTCTGAACACCATACGTTTGGATGTGCCTGCTAATTAAACTCTGGGAAGTATTTATGTGCGCTCTACTCTGTGGTGATTGGCAATTTCTGAGCCTGGTAGCTCTGATGAAGTCATTCTCTGCAGCAGAGGTAATTGTTGGTATTCGTATCTCTAATATGACTCCCTTCTATTTGATGTTTTTCTGGACCACACCCAAAGAAACTTTCATAACTGACTTTTTCCACACTCGCCGACTGTTACATCTGTGCATATTTTAAAGGCTCTTTTTAACTACTGTGGTTAAGCAGAGCTTAAATGTGCTGTATACCCAGGAGTTATGGCATAACTAATGGATCCTCTGCACCACTTACTGGACATACAACTGAACACGTTCTCTAATATATGCTTCAGCTCCACTGCCACTAGGATACATAGAGAAAATCTTTACCATCTCACACAATAATGCCTGTATTCATTTTAGACCCAAGCTCTTCATTTTGTCATATTTAAATTTCGGTTTGTTTAATCGCTTTTTCAAAAAATGATCTTTTACCCAATTACACCATCCTTCCCCTTATCCAATTCAGTTGAAGCCTTTCCCCGCTGTCATAGGGTGAGATGAGAGGTACACCAATCTGCCAGGGCTAACACAGAGACATGCAACCATTCACACTCACATTCACGCCTACGGCCAATTTAGAATTGCTAATTAAGCTAAACCCCACTCTCCAGTTTCTCCAGCTCCAACTGTGTAAGCAGCAAGTGCACAGTACCATGCAAACTGGATTTGAACCTAAGACCTTGCTGTGAGGCAAAAAGGTCTTCTTACTCCCAAACTACATCTTCAGTGTAATTTGTTTACCTTTCTTAGCTTTTTTTACTCTGCGATGCGTTAATATTGTTTTTTTTGCCACAGTAACTTTCTAGATTTTTGGATAAATAAGCCATTTTAGTATCATTAATGTGGACTGAGACCTTCTGAAACAGTGTTCAAACACCTTCAGTTTTTGACTAATAAAATCTTACAGGCAGTTTAATACAATAAAATATGCCATCAGTCAGTTCACTTTTCATCTACTGCTGCCTGCTAGTCCTTCCGGAGGATTTATCAGTGAAAGTAAAGTCATCCCATGGTGCCACTTGCAGACTCTGCAAGCATCCTTATTTTCTTGTCATCACTCTCGTGCATACAGATGTCAATAAAGTTGCAGTATTTGTACTTCCCCTAATTTCCTTCGGGATTAATAAAGTATTCTGATTCTGATTCTTCAGCATTTAGCGAGTACCACTGAAGGGGTGTGAGTAAAGACTTATGTAATGAATTCAAACGTGCGTGGGACAGTAAGTACAGGTCTTACTGGCTATTGTGCAGCATTGTGGTAACAATGACACAGACAGACTGTGGTTATTTAAAGATGAGGTCATGAGTAGCAGTAGAGACATACGAGGTAGAAAAAAGTTTAAAACTATATTTTGGGCAAAGTCTGCATTTAATATTACGGTATATTTTTTTAAATCAGGTTTTACTGGGTAGTCTGCACATGTGTTTCCATTTTCTTTTGACTACTGATATTAAAGTTAATTTAGATAATGTCTCAAAATAGCTTCCTGAATAAGTGCCTATTTCATCATGGCTAATGAGTGCCAGGACAAATTCTACCTTTGCACTAATTTTATTAGTGCTTGAAAAGATGGCAACTTCTTAAGGTTCACCAAGGCATTTCACCTTTCATCCATGAGCCAGAGCGATAACTGTTGTGAGGATTATCCCCCCATCTTATTAATGCAGGGGACAGACTCAAAACACAGTCTTAGCTCACAGTTTTAAAAGGTTTATTGGACAAATCACTAAGCTGTTCTGATTCTCTTAAGAATCTTTTGTCTTTAGAGTGAAGGTAAGATAAATAAGTTTTACTTCAGATTTTTGAGATGTGAATTGTGGATGGTCTGATGGAACAGCAAGCAGGCACCCAGAGAGGCAAGGCGAGCAGCGTGGAGCATGGCTATGAGTGTGGCTGGGGTCTTGAGTGAAACTTGGAGGGGATGCAGGTAAGTAAGAAATCAGGTTCACGGAGTTAACTCCAAAAAGGCAGAGGGAGAAATGAAATTAATAAATGTAAATAACTCGGATGGAAAGCAAACATGGATAGCCTAATTACCACCATGGGAGGTGTAACGATCTGACGAAGATCTGCCATACTTTCAGCCATTAAATACTCTGGATGATGAGGAGACTCAGAACAAGGAATCAGAGAGAGGGCCACGCCTGATGACCCATGGAAGCATTTTCCCACCACTTCGCCTGTGTGGAGAAAGAAAACTAAAAAATCAAGTGAGAGGAAAAGGAAGACAAACATAAAAACCCTGAGTCTTCCCAGACAATGACACTCTCTGGAGGTGGTCCATCACACGAGCCGAGGTTTTACTGTCACTAGGGCCAAAGTGTACAGCCTCATTAGGAAACTTGCCTCATTCGACAATCATTTTCGCTACCGAGGTCACCCGAGGTAGATGTGAGTAAGGGTTGAAATGCCTGGAAACAGATCTCAAAACTGCACTGTAGGTGTCAGAAGTCACCAACTCTGTTCAACTATGATCATTCACAGAGGTCATAGATTGCCACCTTGGTCCAAAATTTGAGCACTGACATCCTTGAAAGAGTATTCTTTCTCCTTTAAACTGAAGAAGCCTCTTGGATGAGAGGAGAAATGTCTATATGGACATAAAGAGGTCCAGTCTTTTTAAGCACTGACTTAATAGCACCTATGACAGTTTAAGTAACATACAACATGATGCAACTGACTAAACCCACAAAATGCAGTAAACCTTAGAACCAGTAGCAGCACAGGTCAGTCAGTGGAAAACTCATTTACCAGAGTTCACAATATAAAAATATTATGTCACTTATTTCCAAGTGAGTCATTTCCCCCTCTCCACTGAAAAACCGGAACTTCACACACCTGCCACGTCTCACTGCTGGTTATATGCCACTGTATGCCAGCAGTACCACTGAACTCACTTGTTAACTGAAAGTAAATACAAGTCACAGTCTCATAAAACTGGTTGAGACATTGTCACATGGTGGCTATTTTAGGCAATCCAAAAACATTCTGCGTTGTTTAAAGAGAACCTGTTACATCGAACTCCATATGTTTATTCTCACGCTGTACTGCAGTAGCGCTGCATGATTCACAGGTCAAAATGATCTTTATGTCATACTGGGCCTTCATTCAGCTGCCCTCCATCTAAGTCAGCAATCTCCTGATTATCCAAATATCAGAAATAGAAACAGCATTTGAACAGCAGGCGTATAGGGCACATAGCTTTCAAGTCTTTAGTGCTGCTCTACCATGTGGGTACTAAATTAAAAAGTCTGAATAACCCTTGAACTAACAGGCATACACAAACTTATGACTGCACAGCTCCTATCTTTCCACAGCTGGGAGCAAAGTTGGTGACAAAGAGAATGGCATATAAATTAATGATTGAAATATTGCAATTAGAATGAGAAAACACTGTTGAGATGTAGAAATACTATTTAAATGCATTTAAAGCAAAAACAAGAACCACAAGAAGCTGTTGAAATCTCCCAATTCTTTGAATCTTTGGGCTGAAGGAAGGACAATACTCGGTGTATAAATGCTCAATCAACAATCATTTATTTCCATACAATTCAACACTTAAGAGCATAAGAACCATCATGATGGGGAGACATGCCTGAAGAGGGTCACAGCAAGTCTCAAAATGGTGACGGGTTGCTCAGCTTTTTATAGTCTCTAGTGGCCCCCACCTAGTCGTAAAAGCCTAAATATTCACATTCTTTCTCTTTTACGGCGCCTAAGTTATGACCTCGGCTCCCTGTCTTTCTGCTCTTCTGAAAGGTGGGGGTGTGGAATGTGGTCTGTCTCTTCTATTATCGGCACAAGGTCCTCTGCACACAACATTCTCTTCATGATTCAGCAGTATGAAATGTCAAGACACAGTGTAAAACATTCAACAGTGTCTAGTAATACAGGTCAATCCAATAGATCTAATGATTTTCACACTCTTTTAAGTCAGAAGTATACTGCAAACTAAGACTACATACTGATCACACACTCTATGTTAAAGGGTATAATATGATCTACAGCAGTATCATACTTCAACTACTTTGATTACATATATAAGGTAACATATGATAACAGAATAATATCACAA